GCCGCAGCCTCCCGGTTGTCGTTCCCCTCAGCTCCCAGGACGGGCCCGTTGTTGGCGGAGCAGCCTCCGCTGTTTCCCCGGTTGGAGGGCAGCCCGGGACGGGGCTCTCTCTCCGCTCCCCCGGGGTGGCGGGACGCGGAGGCCTTGGGCGAGCACCCCCGGGGCTTTGGGGGTGTTCCTAACCGGGGACAGAGCACCGAGGCGGTGAGCAGGGGTATGGCAGTCCTGCGGGCAGCCCCTCGCCGGTGCCCCCAGCCTTTCTGAGCCATGGGGACCCATGTGTTGCCCCTCAGAGAGGCAAAGTGTCACCTCTCTGGTTGCGTCTTACCGAAACGCTGCTAAAACCCGGTGATATCCGTGACGGGGGAGCCCCAGCCCCATGCTGGCACCTGTCCGGAGCCAGGGCAGTGCCCAGTCCTTGCGTACCCCCTCCTTTGGGCTGTTTGGACCCTTCCCACAGACCATCCTTCGCCTCTGAACCCGCACAGCAGCGGGGATTGAGCTTCCCATTTGCCACTATTCCTACTTTTTCCTTGTAGTACTCTCTGAGCCTTATTAATAATAAAAAAACCCCACCGTAGGTTTATTTCTGTTTGCAGGGTGATGAAGTTACGCACGTATATACGTAGTAAAGGAGCTAATTTCCCAGCTTTTAGGTGGTTAGTACTCAGACGGGTTTGGCTGGATCCTGGGTGAAGAGATTTGGTAACCCTGAGCCTAACCATGCCATTCTGTGTTACGTGCAGAGGCTGACGCAATGTTCCCAGAGTGATATCGTTGGGATGTCTCAGCTGCGTGAAAGGTAGAAGAGCCGCAAGCAATTAGGACGACGTTGAAATCCCCATCGGCTGGTTGGTATGTCCCTTTCCCTCTGGGTCAGAGCACGTTGCTCCCGTGTTTCTCGCCTGTTTCTTAGTGTATTCCCACGTTATTACATCTGACATCTTAGAACCTGTGACATGAACATCTGATATTGGCTAAATATTATCAGACAGCCGAGATTATTTGGAATAAGTGACAGGCATAGTGCTGAAAATCCATTATTTCCCTGATTTTAGTAATGTTTCACCAGTTTTTAAAATCACAACTATTGCATCAAGTTCACCACATATGAACAACGCCATCACTTCATGTTTCCTAAGGGAAAACACGGTGAGGGAAGCGATGGCACCACATAGCTAGTAAAGAAAACACTTAGAAATAAAACGTATGAAATGAGACGGGAGCTGAGGAACTGGAGAGGTGGTGTGGTACGGGAAGGCACGGGTGGTGAGATGGCCCCACTGGTGACTGTGGGCATGGTCGGATGTGAGCAGATCCTGGAGGTTTGCTCGGGAGAGCGGGAAGCTGGAATGGGACGGTGCAGCAAGAGCCAGCTGGAGTTTGAGAGTCAGGGTGACGTCGCCCTGGTAGCGAGTGGCTGTGAGTAGGCGTTTCCTTGACAAGGCTGTCTGGCACACACAAGAAATCCTTCCAAATAGGCTGTGAAAAGGAAAAAAAGTCAGTTTCCAAAGCAAGACGTAGTAAAGATGTTCTGTTTTCCTTCTCACTCTGCCCTCGGTCTCACTGATTCTTACAGCACCCGGGAACCTCACTGGTGTAGCTGTTTCAAGCAGTTTAGCAAAGCTGGTTTTAAATCCCTAATAGGATTAGTACCTATTTGCAGTGGACTTTAGAAAATCTCGTCTTCGTTTGACTTCCTTTCCCCGTCTTAGGAGTCTGCAGCTCCTCTGGGAGGATGGACACCCTGAGAAACCGGACGGTGGAGGAGCTCCGGGAGCTGCAGGACAATGCGGAGGAGATCGAGCGCCTGGCCCTGGAGTCCCAGGAGGTACGTGCGGATGGCGTGACGCAGGCAGGGCTTCGTTAACACCTCGCCCGCGCTGACTGTCACGTCTCCTTCCACAGGTTCAGGAGCTGCAGCTGGAAAGGGAGATGGCCCTCGCTGCCAACCGAAGCTTGGCCGAGCAGAACCTGAAGTTCCAGGCGCCGCTGGAGACGGGGCGCACCGACCTCTCTAACAAATACGAAGAGCTGCAGAAGCTGGCCGAGCGGTGTAAGGAGCAAAAGGCAAAACTGGGTGAGCGTTTGCAAACCTTGCACCCTTTCCGATGAAGTCGCGTGGGCTGTAGTTTGTGCAACATCCTTCCCTTTTGCTTCTGCCTACCTTGGCCATACCGAGCAGAGGAACTCTCTAGAGCGGCGGCAGAAAGGATTCTGCTGTGTATAAAATCTATATTGTCCTGTTTCCTGGTCAAACTCAGTTGGACAGGTCGAGGATGCTGTTCTAGCAAAAAAAACTCTTCTACTGCAACGGTGACTAAGGTTCTTTCCTCTTCAGATTTTCTCCTCGTATCAACAGTTTCCAAGGCGGGAGAGCGCAACGGCGCTCTGTGCTAATGATTTTCCCCTGTTATGCGTTTAATGTTTTGCTCTGCTGCTCTCTTTTGTTTCCCCAGAGAAATTTTCAGCAGCGATGCATCCTCAGACCTTGCTGGATCTCCTGCAGGTGGAAAGCCAGAAAATCGAAGAGGAGTCTGAGGTGAGCTTAAGGTTTAAATCCGTTAGCAAGTCAAGTGATTAGTCCTCAAAGACTTGAAGTTACACTCCCAAGACTAATCCCTTAAATCAAGGATTATCTCTTTGTAGGTTTGGCGTTGTTGCTCCGAAAAATTGGATTGCCCTTTGTTTGGTTGTGTGTGGCGTGATGGTCTCTGACAGAGATGTAAATCCTAAGCTGGGCTTGGGGAAGAAGAGTAGAGGGATGCAGTCCTAATGTCTATTTTCTCTTCCAGAAAATGGCCGAGAAGTTCCTGGAGGGCGAGGTGCCCCTGGAAACATTTCTCGAACAGTTTTCCGTGATGAGGAAGTTGTCCCACTTGCGCCGGGTCAGAGTTGAAAAGCTGCAAGAGATATTGAGGAAGTTGGAAGCGTCGCAGGAGCCCGGCAGGGACTCTCAGCAGCACTTGCCTCCTCACGTACCCGGGCCCGCAGAGCCGCCGAAGCCCCAGCCTTTCCCTTCGGGGGCTCCTTCCTTCCCTTTGCCCTACAGCCCAGCCCCCAGTGTGCCGGTCGGCCCCACAGCTCACGGAGCTCTCCCTCCCGCTCCTTTCTCTGGCTCCCCGGTCACCGTGGGACACGTTGCTTCCTCTCAGCCCGGCACCCAGCCCTCCTTTCCGTATACGCCTCCTCCAGGTCCTGGATACCCACCGGTGCAGGCTGCCGATTCCACGCCGGGCTATCCCAAACCCCCCTCGGGAGGCTCATCTCCGGCACCGGGTTATTCCTGGTCTCCATCCAGGGGTCCGCCTCAACCCGCAGCGTTTCCTGGCTCTCGCCCTTCTCCTCCGCCGCCCAGACCCGGGTATCCTCCCTACTTCCCCCCTGGGGCAGGGAGACCGCAGTGCCCCTACCCGACCCAGCCCCCTCTCCCGAATTTCCCAATCCCTCAGCAGCCTCCCTATCCTCCTGGACCTCCCCCACCTTTTGGCTACCCTCCACCTCCGCCCCCTCAGCGCCCTGCTTGGCCTGGCTACTAAATCAGGACTCCGGGGGAGCATCCCAACTGCTGCTCCCTCCTCTTTTTGTGGACACGGGGAAGACGAGCGAGGCGAGAGAGCGTTGCTCTTCGATGGGTGCGAAAGCGTTACGCAGGAGAAGAGACGGGTGCTGCAACTCTGTGCCGATCGCCGGTGGGCTGAAACGTCGGCTTCCGAATCGGCTCGTCCGAGCTCTGGTGTGAAAGCCAGGTAGTCGGCCGGGGGACGCGGGGACGATGTGCACCGACTGCCACCCCCCTCCTCGTCTGCGTGTGGGTGAGCGAGAGAGACCGCGCCGCCCTGCGCGCCTCTCGTTTGCTATGTGGGTAACGGGTGTAATATCGTAATTCAAAGCCTTTTCACGGGTGTTTAAAAGACACGCGGGGAATCTCTGACAGTATTTCTGACCCAAAATACTCACTGCTTTCCAAGGAACTTCTTGGAAGCGGGAGGCAGAGCCAGCCCGGCTCGCGGGCGGTCCGTAACTGATTGCAGGAGGGAGAAGCAGCTCCTTCGCCCCTTGGGTGGGCTGAGCCGTGTGATCTGTCTGTGGTTTTATGCTGGGGCAGGAAAACTTCCCCCTCCAGCCCCGCTCCAGCCCTTCCCAGCCGGCCGTGAGGTCTGGATTCCCCCAGCGCTGCCCTCCCTGCGAGTACCGGTGTGCTTCAAAGCAGAGGCCGGTCCCAATTCCGTCGGGTTTAGGTGTTCCCAGCTCACCGGGGAGCAAAAACCTCTTAATTGCTGCTGCTTCTGTCCAGCACAGGAGCCTTTCCCAACCTGTGCCGGCCGCGTGTTGTCTCACCGAGGGTACGAAGGCTCCGGTGACTCCCCAGAGTTCAACTCCTGGATATTATCTGTGCTTTTGAAGTCAGATAGGGCGGTACGACGTCTCGGGCTGCTGATGTTTTGGGGACACGTTGTCTCGGGTCACAGGGAGGAGTGGGAGTCGGTGTCTCCTGCCCGGCTTTGGGAAAGGCTGGGGCTCAACAGCCTCCCGGATTCCCCGCCTCTCCTGCGGCACCCAGGGGAACGGGGTAAGTTATTTAGGGTGCTACGGGCTCCAGCCTTCCTCACGTCCCCCTTCTCAGGAAACACTAGGTAACGGAGGGAGCGACGAATTAACGTTAATGGAAATGAGATTTGCTTTGCTCAGCACTTTATCCTCTGAATCCTGCCTGTATCCCTGTAAGTTATTTATAAGGAAAGATTACTAATGGACTAGAACGAGGCAAACGCTTGTGGGGTTTGATGGAAGCAATTCCGTATCTGTGGTTAATTACAGTAATAAAATTTGATGAATTGCACGCGGGGTCACGGCAGTGGTTGCTTTCGGAAATGACGGGGCATCCAGCTGACACTTTCTATTGATCTTTTTGTGCCCTCCTGGCGTCCTTACACCAGCTTCCTCTCGATTTTTGTCAATAAAACCTTTCACCCTCTCGCAGGACCATCTTCTTCCAACCCATCTCTCCTGCTCTCTTGTTTTCATCTTTCCTAAGGGGCCCGTTTGCCTGGGGCTCTTCGGCATCAGCCCGTCTCTCCCTTCCTCTGGCACCGTCCCGCGTTTTCCCTCCCCGGCTGGGAAGGAGATGGTGGAAGGAACGGTACCGGTGGCGTTGGAAGGAAGAGAACAAGACATCATTACTAGAAAAGAACAACTTTATTACAACGGTTATTGCTTATTAAATATCTCAGACTTGTTCTCAGTATTTCTGCCCTCCCCGTGCTCCTCGCAGCCGTGCTTTCCTTTAGGCGTCTGCCCAAATCTCACGCCAGCCCACGCAAACAACAGCCAAGCGCGTGTCTTCGCAGCTTTCCCCCTCCCTGCAACCCCGGCAGACGCGGGTCTCGCCGCCTTTCTCGTGAAGCTCAGCACCCCGCTATCGGGCCGCCTGGCAGCCAGCAGCCCGTTTCGCTTTCAGCCCCCCGCCGTCAGCGTGGCTGCGCCGCTCTCGCTGCAGGTATGAAGCCTGCTGCAACCCTTCGAAACTCATACAAATAGCTTAAAAAAAAACAAAAAAAAAAACAAACCAAAACCAAAACAAACCCCCAAATCTCCCCACCTCGCACTCTCCCACGAGGGAGGCTCAAAAACAAGAGGAAGTTTTCTCGGAAAGGGACCGGGGCGCAACCGAAGCTGAGCTAAGCAGGGTCAGAGCTGAGCCGCGCACGCCTGGTGCCCAGTATGAGCAGGTATGGAGGAGGACGGGCCAGTTTGGCTCCCAGTTTGGCAGGGACTGGAGAGGTGAAACCCAGCCCCGGAGGTCTCCCATCGCATTTTGAGGAGGTGAGGGAGGGGGAGGATGCGGGCAGGCTTTCTTCCGAGGTGCGCGGCGCAGGGATTTGTCATCTCATCCCTCGGCTTCGTTCGGTTCGTCGTCGCATCGGATCGCGGCGGAGTTTGGGGTTGGAGAGGACCTTCAAAGATCATCTCGGTTGTCGTGCGTGCGTGTGTGTGTGTGTGTGTCCCTCCCTCCTGCCGTGGGCCGGGACGGCTTTTGCTAGATGGGGTTGCGCCAAAATTGCCCTTTCTTGCGCTGCATCCCACCTCTGCCTGCAGGGCGGGGACGGAGACAAGGTGGCTCGCCAAAAAAAAAAAAACAAAACCCCCAAAATTGCAAGAAAAGCCGCTAATTCGGCAGTTGCTGCGCTGCCACGTGCGTCACCGCCCTGGGACAGCGCTGGGTGGCCGTGGAGGTGGTGGTGGTGGGGATGGCTCGGCTGGGGACCAGGGCAGCCCGAGAGGGGGCCAGCCGTTGCGAGGACGGTGACGGGGAGGGGGGCACACTCGACGGGTGGAGG